AGGGATGAAAATCAAGCTTTTTCAAAGAATTATTACTTTCCCCTCCTTCTAACATAATTGAATACATATTTTTCTTTGAAATGTTATGAGCTTGATTTTGATACAGTCTGTGCCTTGATTATCCTTATTAGTGAAGGTCAGACAATGTCATTTATGTCATGCCTTCAGATACAACTGATTCTGTAATTTCATTTAAGCCAGGAAATAGAGCCACTTTAGAGGCTTGAAAGCAAAAGCTATCTGCTTCAAGGTAAAATCAATTTGTAGGAATGAATAACTGTCATGTTATGGTATCCCTTGTATCATTAGGCTACCTAAATGTGAGACTGCCACGCCTGGTTTAATATCATATTTTGTAAAATGCCTGGGAATATTTATGCCAGTGATTGATAATGAGTTGGAGAATAGATTTTATCTAAACATATAGAAAATCTCCTATATGAGGTTCAGGATATTTGGACTATTGAAATTCATTATTGCCTCATTTCATAAAATAATATAATTTTTGATAACCAGCATGCTTCGCAGTGTTTTTATTTTTTCAAAAACGAGCTGACTAACTTTTTGGCAGCCGTATTGCATTCTGGCAGCCATTTTGGAAGTTTTTGAATAAATCTTGTCATTAGAATCTAGAAAAGATTTTTCATTTATTGTGATTTTGTAACAAAAATGGGGAATCCACCCGAACTAGAAAAAAAAAATTTCAAAGTTGATAAACAATTTTCGAAACTATACCTCTAGATGTACTTTTACATGTAGATTTCAAATATGACATCACTGACTGAATTTTGAATGACAATGAGAGCTGATTAACGTTTTGGTTGCCATCTTGTTTTCTGGGTCAACAAGCCCACACTTCTATGTTTTAGGTATGACATTTAAAGGAAGAATGCCGAGAATATTAAGACAATTGAAGATGTTGAACAACTGATTTACATACTTTTTGTGGCTTGGTTGAACGGTTATGAAAACTTTGTAAATTTTTAATCGAGGCTGGGCAAAAAAATGAACATTTATAATGTTATTTTCATGTTTGTTACTGTATTGGTTAAGTTTATCTTTTGTACTCTTGTACCCTATAAAGGGTGAATTGAGAAATCAATAAATAAATAAAAATATATGATATTTTGTTCCAACAAGGTTCGGAAAGGTATTTTATTTCATTCTCAAGAATTGGTAGAAAATAACAAAAAGCAATTTTCGCATTAAATTGTTGTCTTGTTGCAGCCTTTCAAAAGCAATTTTATTAATACACATGTACACCAACCCATTCAAAATGACTTAGATAATCTTGCTTTATGGGGATATACCTGGAAAATGACTTTTAAAGCACAAAAAATCGCCGATTTGATTTTCACGGGAACTAGAAACTTACTTATTGAACCTCCCCCTTTACATCTAGGAGATGAACTGATACCAAGGTGCAATAGTCATAAGCACTTGGGGCTAATTCTGGATCAACATTTGAACTTTAATGACCATATTGATCAAGTTATCACAATGGTAATTTCTCTAATGAGACCTTTAAAGAAGCTTAGCAAACTTCTTCAGAGTAAACACTTGGAAACAATTTACAACAATGCTTTCATTATGCCACATTTTGATAACTGTGATATAATTTACAGTTAAGCTTCAAATTTTAGACTTCAGTGTTTAGATAGATTGCACTACAGAGCGGCTTGTTTGGTTTCTGGTGTTATACATGGGTCAAACACTGCTTCTGTTCTAAGTTCCTTAAACTGGAAATTCCTATCAACTAGAAGAGATGAGCACATGTTTAAATGTAGGTACAATTCTAATCCACCTTTCATTTGTAAATTACTTCAAACTTGTGAAAATACTCAGACTAGGCAACTGAGAGATACAAGACATTACTTAATTCCTATAAAAGCTAGCAATGCATTCCAGAGGTCAACTATTTTGAATGGAATAAGAACATGGAACAATTTACACCTTGACATGAGAAGAGGTCAACCGATATATCATACTTCAAAAGATTAGTAAGAGATTACAGGAGCCCTGTCTCCATGCTACCCACTACCAAAATGGTAAACGAAATGCCTAGATATGTTGAATGTGCTTTTAACAAACTCAGAGTGGGTCTTCTTTTAAAATCGCAGCTATAGGTTCATAATTTCACCAGTGTTTGTTATCCCTTTTGTAAATGCAGATTACCACAAACACCTTCTCATTTTATCATAAAATGTCCTCTGCTTGTAAACGAGCGTGAAACTTTATTTGCAGGACTGCGAACTTCAGATCTTCATCTTTTGGTTCAGAGTTTGAACACAGTTGACAAAATTCAGTTTATTTTGTATGGTGATGAAGATTTAGATAATTCATTAAATGAAAAATTAATAGAACTAATGAGTCATTTTGTGAATCAATGTTTTAGCCAAATTGATCGGTTTGGCTAATTTTTGTTTTTGCATGCATGTGTTAACTCATCCCTGGCCCATGGGATTATAGTTTCTTATATGTTATATGAGTCATAACATTATTTTGATAAATTTTAATATTCATAGATATGATCTATTGTCTAAAATTGCCGCTAATGTTTTTTATAAAACTTTGGCAATCAATTGTATGTCTATTATTGATTATGTATAAAAAAGTCAATCAGTCAACATTACATTAAACACTGTTTTTTACAGAATGTTTTCAATAATTGGTTTAAGAGAAAATTGAATTTTGCTCTTGCAGTTGATCAAAACTGAAACTTTTGTCATCAATATCTAGGTGGGTGATTTTTTCCAGCCTCCAGTATTTTGACAATAGTAAGTTCAGGTCATAAGCATTCTTCAGGGTGGGTTTTGCGAACCAACAATTTATTTTGGAGTTATTTTTAAGGAATTATCCCCAGGTTATTAGCATTTCCATCTTCAAGAGTCATTGTTAGTTTCTATTCCAAACTATTGAATTAAATCTTTAATGCTCCCAGTCCCTTCAGTGTTCATGGTTGCTTGCATTATTTTCTTTTTATTTCTGGTGATGTGATGTGATATGTTGATTCTCCTGTCTGATCCTCCTGTCTGAGTGAATTCTTGTGGTAGACACATTCATTTTCTTCGACATCTCATAGATCAGTTTCAAAGAGCTCAATCACACCTCTCTTTCTGACAACATCACCCTCCAAGGTGGGACATCACTACAACGTCGCCAAAATACTCGGAACTTCTATGCCAAGTTCATTACATGGAGCATGTCCAATATTCACATCACAAATCATACTCCTATTCAATTTATCACTAAGGGAATCATCTAGCCTTTATACACCAAAGGGAACTCTAAATTACTTCAAGACTTCTCATATGGCTTATCTAGCAATCTCATCTGAGATATTACCCAAGCCATCTATTAGTGTGAGAGATGCCAACTTTCTTTGAAATTCTACCACAATCTCTTGCGTTCTTGAAATTTATCTCTAGTATTGTCTATCAATTGTTTCTTCAACATGTGTTGTAATGACTTTGGTATGCGTGAAATGACCCTTGGTGTTCTGGTCTTGGACTGTGATATTCATTCTTGAATGGTGGGGGAAGGGGGCATTAGACATTGTTTCTCTTCACGATAGAGATAGAGTTTGATTTTTCTTGCGAGATTCTGTTTTTAAAATTGTTTTTATTTGGAATTCGTAAGAAATACTTTCCCTGTTTTCATGCATGTTAATGAATATCCACTGATTAAATTTGGTGATGCGTGAGTTCAAGCTGCCTTATTGTTTCCTCTTTAATTACCTTCACATATACAATATTAACAAAATTACTCCACTACCTTTCCAGTTTCCACAGTGTTTACGAAAAAGACCGACCCCACCGACCACCCACCGGTCGGTGTTTTCCACTCCTAGCCTCAAAACAGCAAGGTTTGAAGAAAATGTGTGAAAGACCGACCATATCATGTAAAAGACCGACCATATTTGTAACCTTAAAATATTGAAACACCGTTTTGCAACAAAATCGCTCACCTACTGTACTTTTTCTTAATTTGGTGCCCATTTTAATTTCCCATGTTCTTTTCTCATAGGGAAAACTCATGCGATCCATTGCTTTCAGCTAATTTTGGTCACCCATAATGGATATCTTTAAAACCGCCAAAGGAATCACTTATTCCTTTAAAGGGGTTAAATGTGAAACGCAACATATTGATGCAAGAAAAATTAAAAAGCAGGGGTGGAAGGGGTTGAAAATCAGAACAACATTTCAGAAAAAACATGTGGATGGGTTGTTTACATCTTCCCTGTCTCAAAGTCGAAATTATTTTATCATCTCTATGAGTGCTTTTCCTGGAGGTAATGCATTGATCTAATATTATAATGCACCTGTTTAAATCCTCAGAGAATAGCCAAAATCCAACATATGACTATCCAAAATCTGTTGCGATACTTTCCCTCCTCCTTTGTCACTTTTGACTTGCCTACTACTAAAAGAAGCAATGACAATTTACTAGTCAAACAAAAGTCGAACGGATAGCAACAAGGATAAATTTGGGCACATAATTGCATCCTTTGAAGTTCAATTTTTCAATATTCCAGGTCCTCCAAATTATAAGTACATGGGATTAGATGGAATTTTAGAATTCAAATACACCAATAATATATACAGATGATATACATTTATGTGATTATAATTAGGGGCAATTATTGTTTTATGATGTCTAGAGTTGTATTCTTTTGTATTTTTGGCTACGATCCATTACATACAATTATCTTAGCAGGAGAGGGGCTTATTAACGTAATTTGGCTCCTTTAACCTTCCTAATATTATATTAAATATTATACTGTATGTTAAGGCATTTAATATCAGTAGCACTGTAATATATTGAGTGTTATAAAATTGAAGTAAAGATCGATTTATAGTGTAGAGATACTGCCCTGTCAATTGATCTTAGTACCATTAGTATCAGGGGAGTATTTAATAACTTAACACTATTGACTGAGCAAATACTACAGATAGAGGCTGTGCAATCAGTAATCAGTTTATTCCTTTATTGTGTTTTAGGATTTTTACGTCATTTACGCTCTAATGCAGTGTGTGTTGATGAGGATGGTAAAAGTGAGGAGCCAACAATTTTAACTGACGAACAATTATTGGTGAATGTATCATCTGAAAGTTCCTGTGACACGAACAATGGATTAACAGATGAAGCTATTAAGACATATCAGTACAGAATAGATAACGAAATGAGTGAAATACTTGGAAAAGCCACGAAGGATATGGAAAATACAAAAATGGATGATGTTAATAGAGATACGCCTTCTCCTGATAAGGCTGTTAGGTTTTCAGTTTCGGATGGTACTCCATCGCAAACAACAGTATTGCCAAAGAAGACAAAGCTGTTGAAACGTAAACCTACTCCCGCTAGGTTACCTATGATGGAGAGAATAAAAAGTAAGAACTTTTTTTAAAGTAATAACTGAATTAATGTTTAATGCCCAATTTCTTTGCTTTCCTTTTGTTTAAATCATATGTTTAATGTATGCAGGAGTTCAAGTTGAATTATTGAAAGCACAATGGAGAACATTTAAACAACAAAAAGCCCCATAAATGATGAACCATTGATAAGATATGTATAGTATTTATTAAATAAAATGTCAAGTATAGTTTGTGTTGAGAAGATCTAAAGGGAACATGAAACACCAAAATGTCACTGACATTATCCATTATTTTAGACTTTATCATATGTTTCAGTTTAATTAAATCCTGAGCCAATAACCTACTTAAACCAAAAGATATCATATTTGATGCAAATAAGATTATTAAAGTGTTCCATGAGTTCTTAATTCAGTCTTGAAAGTCAATTTATCTTCCTCGTAGATTGAGGCTACATATCTTTTCAATAGAAATCATCAATCATCAGCTTGAGAGAAGAATTGGTTCTTGATTCTAACTTCAAAGGATTGTGTCCCGGATGAAGATTTGTATCTTGAGGAAAATAAACTCAAATCAGTCGAGATATAAATATGCAAATTTGCTGATTGATTATATTCTTATATGAATTCTTATTATGAATTATATTATTTATTATATTCTGTGAGATGTTGAAAATATTTGAATAATTTATTGGCTTTTATTACACATACCTGGCCTTGATTGTAGGCTCTATCTATAGATAGTATTCACACTATACAGTAGTTTAAAGGGGTTTATGATTCATTTATGATGTTCAGATGTTACCACTCGGGGTCTCAAATTAAAGTGGGAGCAAAGAATGTAGAGGGTTAGATCTTAAAAGCAATCATTATTATCATACCAAATGAAATTCAAATGGAATAAGTTTTTTTATTATTTATTTATTTTTGTATCACAACAGATTTTCTAAAATGATACATTTTTAAAATATTGTAAAACACAGCTAGAGTATATGAATACAATGAGAAGCTATATCAGTCCATCCTTGCATTCATCCATTCATTCAGTTCATTTATTCATCTATCTGCCCATATTCATCATTTATGGGGGTCCGTGCTGGTGGTTAATAAGTCCCAGCTCATTATTTTGCCTCATTTTGAAAAATCCACCTATTTGTCAGGATGTGAACCAACTTATTTGTCCAATTTTTGGAAAAAGGCATGACACGTGATTTTTATGGGTAAAATAAAATTGTTCAGATAGTTCCTCTTAACTTGTCGTATCATTGTTGCCACTTTAAGAACAGTATAATGAAGACTTTGGCAAATATCACCTATTAGATGATAGGCCTAGATTTTATTTACTAATGCATGGAGGATGACCTCAATTTGAGACCTTTCCTTAAATTAAATTGAACAATACGGCATGTGAAGTATATATCCTCTGAGTGTAGGTTTAAGAGAAAATATGAAGCTAATTGGCATCTATTGATTGATGTCCTCAGACATAGATGTGTAGGCTTACTAATATATTGCATTGGAACTAGCAAATAGAATTCACAGATTCTGCAATAATATAAGTTTAATCAATTAACCAACATCAATTACAGATTTGCTTCAAATTGAGGAGTCTACAGTAAATAGGCAATTTAGAAAATGAGTATACATCTCATATTAATTTTTTTCTATGATTAATTATATCAATTCAAGTTTATGTTTTATCTAATTTTCTGCTTGTTATTAAATCATCCAGTTCAAATCTTAGAGAATAATAAATCACTGACATCAAGTGAAATTGGTAAAACAGGATCTGTTCCAGGGGAATTGTTTAATAAAGCGATATCTGGGATGTCTTGGGAAAATATTTGAAGAAACACCCACAAATCTAATAATTTGCTATATATCAAATCTTTGATATAACAATCTGAAGTAGATCTAACCTCAAGCTATAAAACAGTCAAACAAGCCTTGAATGATTGTGTTACTTTTTAATATGGTAGCAAATATATGCTTTTCATTGTGGTAACATTTGATTTTCATTGTATTAATGTTTTATTTCCTTTCTTGTCTTCCAATTCATTTGGTAACCATTCCTATGGGTATCAATGTGGTGAAATGTTTATGCTTATGTTTATGTGTAATACAGTATGTTTTTTCAGTGTGGTAAGTACATGTACTCCTCCTTCATTCAAGGTGGAAACATCTCTCTTAGCTTTTCATTTTGGCAACACATCCCTGTGTTGTTGTCAATATTGTAACAACTGGAATGACTTTCAATGTGGTCATAACATTTCCTAATAATCTTTTAAATGTGGTAGGGCAAAGGGGTGTAATGTCGATGTTTAGAGTAACCTTGACATAAGAAATGGGGTAACTTCGACAATTACTTATACACAGGCTGGTATCGAAAAATTTGTCCGCTGTGACAGAGCGTGCTATTTTGCATAGGAACACTAATAAACCCACAAAATTTATTTTTTACTCATATGTTTTGCTATACCAAAGAAGTGACCCTGTAAGTTCTGAAAACCTGTTAGTACCATTGTATATTATGTAAAAATTGTATAAATGTTTTAATTTAGTGAATAAAGTTTATTAATAAAAAAAAGACAAAAAAAGACATGGCTTCCCTAGATCGGGAATTAGAACAAATAAACAACTAGGTAAAGTTACCCCAAATGTCAAAGTTACCCCAAATGTCAAAGTTACCCCAAATGTCAAAGTTACCCCAAATGTCAAAGTTACCCCAAATGTCAAAGTTACCCCAAATGTCAAAGTTACCCCAAATGTCAAAGTTACCCCAAATGTCAAAGTTACCCCAAATGTCAAAGTTACCCCAAATGTCAAAGTTACCCCAAATGTCAAAGTTACCCCAAATGTCAAAGTTACCCCAAATGTCAAAGTTACCCCAAATGTCAAAGTAACCCCAAATGTCAAAGTTATCCCAAATTGGTGTCAACGTTATACCCCTTCCCCCTAACTTGAAGATTTGAAGTCTTATATCTTCTCAAAATTTGATTATTTTTATTTTTTTCAAAGTAGTTATAATTATATTCAGTGCAATATCTATGAAGTAACATCATCCAAACATATGTTCCTTTCAGTGAAGGATGGCACAGAGACTATAGTATGCGAAGAACTAGAAGAGGAAGGGGATCCAACAAACAGTGAAGATCAATCTGAAAATGAACTCCAACAATCTGGTAATAATCCTAACATAGATGAACAGGTAGAAATAGAAGAACAGAATCACGTGGATGACAAATCTGATGCACCATCTGATAGGACCTAAATACAGTGAGATAATAGGGCATCCTGCAATATTTAGCAACAACATGTTGTGGATAATATTACAAACTCACGAATCAAAGTATTAACAATGTATTAATGACTGGTTTGAATTGCATTGTACAGTGTATCGCTGTTCTATGACTAAAAGTATCTGATTCGCCCCATTAGGATATGAGTATAAATTAGATAAAGTGTACAAATGAATTGAATCTATGAAAATGAGAATAGAGTTTTGTTGCGGTGAATGGATGAAACATTGAGAAGTACTTCTAACAGAAGTGGCCTGTCAAGAGTTGATGGATTGAAATGTCACTTTGAACTTCATTATCTGACTGTAGAATTATATGTGTGTACTATTTAAGTAGGAAAATGCTTTTTATGTCCCCACCACATAGTGTGGGGCCATATTGTCGGCCTAGGCGCGTCCGTCTGTCCGTCTGTCCGTCTGTCTGTCCGTCTGTCTGTCCGTACGTCCGGCAGTTTTCTCCAAAACCGCTACAGATATCACCTTCAAATTTTCAGGGATAACTTATGAGTGCATACAGATGTGGATGAAAAAAAATTAACTCGATACCTACTTCCTGTCGGCCATTTTGAAGTCGAATGCTAAAATCCTTGTCTGCAAACTTTAAGAAAAACTGCTTCACAGTTGCTTTTAAAACTTTAACATCTTGTTCAGCTCACTTCATTCTAGATCTGATTAGGTTTTGGACCTGCTAGCTCAGTCATGTCAGCCATTTTGAATGTCTTAAGAAAAGTTAGCGCGCGATAATACTTTGTATCATATTGAATGGTGTTTTTGAGTTTTCATACTTTAACTATTTAGTAGCTTTATAAATAATTTCAGATGTACTTTGCTGTAAAAGCCTACTTTATTGTTAACAGTAGTTATATGTGATAATTTTGTAAAAAGAAATCAGCAAAAACTCATAAGGACTTTTTTATTGTCGGCCATTTTGGATTTTTCGGTCCTAAAATCTTGTCTGTGAAGTCTTGTCTGCGCGTTTTCAGGTGAACCGTTTGGTGGATCAATTTCAAATTTTCAGGGATGATTCTTAGTATAAAAATCTAGATCTCATTAGTTTTTTGGCATTCTGGGTAAATGTCAAGGCAGCCATTTTGGATTTTCCGTCCTAAAATCTTGTCTGTAAAGTCTTGTCTACTCGTTTTCAGGTGAACTGTTTCGTAGATCAATTTCAAATTTTCAGGAATGATTCTTAGTATGAAAATCTAGAACTGATTAGTTTTTTTGCATTCTGGGTAAATGTCAAGGCAGCCATTTTGGATTTTCCGTCTTAAAATCTTGCCTGTAAAGTCTTGTCTACGCGTTTTTAGGAGAACGGTTTGATAGATCAATTTCAAATTTTCAGGGATGATTCTTTGTATGAAAATCTACATCTGATTACTTTTTTTGCATTCTGCGTAAATGTTAAGGCAGCTATTTTGGATTTTCTGTCCTAAAATCTTGTCTGTAAAGTCTTGTCTACCCGTTTTCAGGTGAACCGTTTGGTAGATCAATTTCATATTTTCAGGGATGATTCTTAGTATGAAAATCTACAAACAGATTAGTTTTTTGACATTCTTGGTAAATGTCAAGGCAGCCATTTTGGATTTTCCATCCTGAAATCTTGTCTGTAAAGTCTTGTTTACATGTTTTCTGGTTAACTGTGTGACGGATCAATTTCAAATTTTCAGGGGTGGTTCTTAGTATGAAAATCTAGAACTGACTAAATTTTTGGCATTCTGGGTAAATTTTAAGGTGGCCACTTTGGATTTTCCGTCCTCAAATTGTGTTGGTAAAGTCTTGTCTACTCATTTTCAGGATAACCATTTCACGGGATCACCACTTGGTGGGGACATTTTGTACACATTTGTGTTCTTGTATAACAAATGTTATACCATAAATAATATTCTTTCTATCAAGAACAGATTCATGTGCTACCGCACACCATACTTTTTCATGTAAGATCTTTGCAGCTTGGTGACATAAATCAAGAAAAATTGTAATTCGAAAAAAATGTTTCGGCATTAGGCCTTATAGGTTTGATTCACTTAAATGGTTATCAACTGAGCTGTTTCTGTGCACAATGCTCTTACAGTGTCTCCAGCAGCTTTAAAACTATGACTATATATATGAGAGCCTTAAAGTCATGAGTTACATCATCTGCCAACATATTTACCTTTGAAAAATCCTACAGGAGAATTTGGGAGATGTACTGTGCGTTTAATAGAGAGAATATGGAAAAAGATGTTTTTATAATTTCAATATTTTAGAATTTGACGTACCTGTTTTATGCATGACTGTAATATATTTGATTCTATAAGACACATTGAGCAAGTAATCTCCAGTGCAAGTTTTGAAGTACTTTTGAAATTCATGGGTATAAACCCCATTTAGGTAGCAACACTATAGAATGAAATGTAGTTATTTTATAGAATGTACAGTTGTACCAAGAGAAGAGTACATTCTTTTTCTATTGTTTTGAAAGAATCCATTTACAAGCGATAGTGTCCATCATTCAAAAACAACATAAAAATGTACATGTACCTTCTGTATTGAGCTAAGCTAATTTACGCATTCTCCTCAATATTCAATGTCTCACTGTACCTAAAATGGTTCATGCCATGCACTGAAGCTGACCTAATAACACCTTACTCGCTCTCTCATCAACTCACTTCCCTTATAGTTGAATAGTTAATACAAAAGAAATGTTACAGTTGAATGGTAAAGTTGTACATGTACACTATAAATGACAAGGGATTGATGTACTCGTGTATTTTTTCATTTAAAACAAAATACAATGTATGTCTGTTCATGTGCTCCCCATGGGTAATCAGACAACTCAACCACATTTGAAAATCTAATATAAATGAATAATGTAATATTAAAATCCTAATAAATGACAAAGGATGATTTGTCCAGGGGATGAGTTGCCCAGTTGGCTGATTGCCAGTTTAGTTGTTGCTCTAAGAAATATAAATTAAAATGCTTTGAACAAATGTCGCTCATTCGAGACCATGTGTACATTGTAGAGTGAATGAAAAATAAGTTTTTTGGAAATTACAGTATTTTTATTAATTTCAGTCTATACAATGCAGTCATCTCCCCAGCATTAAAGCATGTTGGCGCAACACCCACCTGAGATTTTGAAAATAGGCTTGCACCCACCTGAAAATCCATTTGCACCCACTTGAAAATGAGAAAATCATGAATGATTGGCATATTTTGACCAATTTTTCTCTGAATTGTAAAAATGAAAATTTTGCACCCACCTGTGAAAAATCCTGAGATCACTGCAGTGTGTTAAAATAGTCAACTATATTCTCTCTCAGACATGTATAATTTATCAGTAGACAGTAATTGATGAACTGTACTAGAGAAATTCCTTATACATATGTGAAATGTTTGAATTTTGATGTACATGTATTCCATATGACGGAATCATATAGATGGCTTCAAAATGGGCTCCATGTAAAAATAAGTTAAGTGTACGTCTTTGATAAATCCGAATCATAAAAGATATATAGTATATGTTACCTATAACAAAAATAGAGATGTTTACTTTATCCATTTAAGTAATTATCCCAACGAACAAAGTTCCGTAGGGATATAGTGAAGCCCTCCGTCCGTCAGTCCGTCCGTCCATCCGGAAGATAACTCAAATACTAGTAGACAGATTTTCTTCATATTTAGTGGAAAGATGTATATTGGTGAATAGTTTTATGCAAAAAAAATGTTTCAAGATGGCCACCGCTTTAAAAATGACGGGACTTTTTCGCAAAAATCATAAATTTTTCATTCTGAACCAAATTAATATTATTGTTTGAAATTTTGGTAGTATATTCACAACATTTATCTATTTCACATATATTCCATGTTTCTCATCCTGAGGAAAACAAATTTTCGCTAATTTTTAGATCTTTCTGAAGTATAGCTTTATTATACTCAAATGAAAGGCAATTAAGAGTAGATTGCAAATATTGTATCTTTTTTCTGATTCGAGCCTCATAAATTCAAAATGGCCGTCTAATGTACGATTTCGCAATAATTTTTCGATTCCTTCAAAGTATGGCTATATAAATCGAAGGAATTTTGTAAATGCATTTTAAATCTCCAATTTAGGATTTGATCAAGGAGGATTGATCTCCATATTTTATTTTGTTCTGTACACATACTAAACCCACAGTTCTTGACAGATGTCATTATTCCAAAATTAAAAATTAAACAGTCACCATTTTTTCATTTCAGATTTTGAATCACAAGTTTTCGAAACAAGAAGTGATCAAGAAATTAGCTCAAATCTTTTGGATTGCTGATAATGATTTTATACCCAGTTTATTGTCAGACAATAAAAACATTTTCAATGTTGAAAATATTGAGATTGCATTCTGGGAGCCAATCAAGTTTTAGATTTAAGATTTTAAAGATGACCATCCATCGGTGTTAAAAATGGTGCATGGCTACACTAGAAGACTGGAAACACATTTTCTATTGCATCCATGATCATGGCATCAAGAAACTCTAACTAAGACTTATAAGAGGATCTAACGAACAAACATTTATTGTTTCTGACTGAGTACAATTGCTATATTCATTGCTAACAATAGGTTATTGTATAATTTCAAGACATTTTGACTTTCACTACCCTATTATCCTAGATCTTTTGATGTTTCGACACATCAAATATTTTTCTCTCATATTAGTTCCAATTATTATTGTCCTTCTGTGCAGCATATGTAAACATCTAAGGGTAGAGACCTTAAAAGTATTAATAGAATAGAACATTGTTTAAAATGCTGTATAATCATTGAGTACTTTTGCAATGACCAAAATGTCCAAAGGTGCAGTACTTGTGTCTGTAACATCACTCCCAACATTCAGAGACCATTATCACAATCCAAAGTCACAGGGGGATGGGACTTTTTATTATTATCAAATATAAATCATCCTTGATAAATCTAGATGGTGAAAATATGAGGTGTAATAATAGTTATCAATAACAATGTTGAATACAATTGGATTATAATGATCACCTGCTATGGCCATGATGAAGGCAATCATTTCTTTATTTCGTGTGGAATATAATGAATCTTTATTCCAATAAAATGCCTTCAGTAATTTTAGATACGTATTTTTACTGTACTCCAAGACCTATGTATAGAGAGCAAAGATCTGAATTGACCGGGTGCTACATTACTTGGGGATATGTTAAAGTGGTAGGGGTCTTTTCAGAAAGCATGCCAGTGTTAGCTTACAATCCTAATCTGATTGCGAAGAGATGAACATTTCATCAATTGTAAAACTAATTGAAGATTTAAAATTCATCAGAATAAAAAATGGACGTCTTTATCATCATAACTATTGCAAAATTACCT